GGCTTGTTTAGTCTGCAGAAGAGAAGAGTGTGGGGGGATTTGACAGTAACCTTGCAGGCTTGGGACTATGGAGACAGGACGGAAGATGCCTCCATGCTGTTAGCCCCAAGAGGGGAGAGCAGGGGGACAGCTGATGAAGTCAAGCAGTTTAACAGTGATCTATTGTGCCCTTCCCCATGCCAGTGCAGATTCAGCCTGTGGAACTCACTGCAACATGAGGGAAAAGAAACGCTCCTGCATGACTTTAGGATGGCGTTAGAAGAGTAAATAGTATTTAAATATGCTCTGTGAGCTTTCACTTTCCTGCCTGACCCAGGACCAGGAACTGGACAGGTGAAGAGTGATTTGCAATGTTAATACAAATATTCACCAGTGCACGCTGGTTTTTGCCCCTGGGCTGCGGCTGATTTTGCAAGGCTGATTCACAGCAATCTGAGGTACATCTGAAGGTGCAAGAGAAACGAAGTCTCCTTCTTCAGGGCACAGCTGAAAGTGGCCGAGGACGAGCCAGAAAAGGTCACCAGCACCCATCTTTGGCTTTGCTGCTCTGCTCCAGGAGCCAGCAGCAAAGTGAAATTCACCAGATCTCTTTTCTGAAGGCCCACAGAGTGGTGTGGGAAGGGGAGGACAGGCTGGCCTGGGAAATGGCACAGAATAGAGGAGAAATTGGAGAGGAGAGAATTGAATGTGCAAAGAACCAAGACTTCGGCTAGACAGGCCAGAGGTCAGGGAGCCGGGCTGGTGTTTGGGAGACCTGGATCAATCCCCTGCTCTGCCACAGACTCCCTGTGTGACCTTGGCAAGTCACTTAGTCCCTCTGGGCCCCTGCTCGGTGTCTGTAAAGCAGGAGAACAGCACTGCCCAGCCTCATGGCGCTGCAAAGATCAGTGTAGGGAGCATTGTGAGACACTCAGATGCTACCACCATGGGGGCCAGATAAACATTGTGGTGATGAGCGGATGGGGCGGATGTTCCCAGACCGACGGCAAGGGATGTAATCAATACGGGGATGGAGCAGGGCAAGGAGATCTAATGGAGGTATGGATCAGTGCCCAAAGAAGAATGCGGGGGTGACAAAGAGGGCAGGCAGTGGTGGGGTGACATAAAAAGGTGCTAGATGTGATGGTGGAGGAGGATCTTAATGTGAACTGAAAAGCTTTCGCCCACTGAGATTCGTTCCTTCGGCAGGAGCCGTCACCGGAATGCAGATGCGTCAGCGGGGCCGGGGCAGAGGGGGGAGGAGGAACCGGTGTTCACATACGGTGGCTTGCAGGCTGCGTGCTCTCTGCGCCAGAGGGGAAAACCAAAGGCAAGAGGCTATTTATTGTTCAAGGCCTTTCATCTCCCCTTGAGGACCAAGCTCGGAGAACGTCAGCTAGCCCAGCAGTGGATTGGCAGAGTGACAGGCTGCATCGAGGGAGAGCAGAGCCAGGCTCCTGAGACCCTCAGCCCACCAGGGGTTGGCTGCACCCTGGAGCAGCCACGGCGGGTGTGGGGGTGTGTGCTTTGTGCTGCTCTCAAGATGCAGGGCATGGGGGCAAGAGAGCTTCAGCCGCAGCTGGAGCGAGGAGCCCCTGCCCCTGCGCCACAAGGCCCGAGGGGTAAAGGGAGAGAAACCCTGCAAGAGCCCCCACAGCTCCCTACAAAGTATGTTCTCCTAGTGGGTGTGTGCCCCACACCGCACAGCAGGGTCCCCACACGGCAATTCCACCCCCATGGCTGGCCCGGGCTGTGGGGCTGTTAGAGCTCTGGGACCCTCCTGCCTTGCAGGGTCCTAGGACATCTACGCTGCAGTTAAACAGCCTCTTGGCCCAAACGCCCCACGAGCCCGGCCAGCCGCGGGTGTGGACAGACCCTCAGTCAGGGACATTAACCCATGGCCCCTCCCTAGCCCCGCCCATGCGAGGATCTCCGAGTACTTGGTCCCTGAGAGAGGGCTCTGGGTGGCTGGGCACAGAGAGGGTGGGAACTTGCTCAGGGACCCCAGCAAGCCGGCAGAAGAGCCCTGACTTTGCCAGGGGCCTCAGCCCGCCTTCGTGGGACCGATTTCCGGGGGGAGGAGAAAGGAGCTTGATCTTCACACGGGTTCAACCCTGGGCCAATTATGTCCCCCAAACAATTCAAAAAGGCAGCAAGAGGCTCCAGTGGGAGGTTGAGTCTGTGCTTTAACGAGCCCCCGTCCTGTCCAGCAGGCAGTGCTGAGTAAATCTGCAGCTTAGCCATTAATTCCTTGACTTAGGTTTTTTAAGTGTGTGTGTGGGGAGGGGGAAGAGATTGGGGGTATTGACATTCGGGAGCTCATAACCCCTCTCCTCCCCCACCAGGGAAGTCTGTGGCCAGAGCTGCAGCTCAGTGAGGTTTTCAGCTGGCTGGACTGAGGCCCTGCCTGTTGTCACGAGGGTAGCGTGGCCGGGGTGTGACCTGCCCCGTGCCCTCGGCCCCAGAACACACACACCAGTGTCTCGGGGACGCACGCCTGCACAGGCGCTTGTTGGGGCACAGGGACTCCAGAGACCCGTGTGACCATTCCCCCAAGTGCTCTCACTGCACAAACTCCTGCCAGCCTCTCGCCACTGCCAGGCGGGGCGGGCGGGAACCAGGTTCACTGGGTCCAACGTGCAGCGCAAACCACGCCTGGACCAGCTGAGCAGAAAAGCTGCAGCCAGCCCAGACGGGAGGGTGCGTCTGGATTTCAGGCGATGGAGCCAGAACCAAACCCAGCGGGGACAAGGGATCAGATGAAAGTGACCTGAGCTCCTATCCCAACCTCAGACCAGACCCACGTCACGTGTCCGTAGTGCCCATCGCAGGGGCGAACGGGGCGGGCACCGGGGCTCTGGCACAGCGGCAGCTTCCAGATTTTCAGGTGCTAACTGGCAGTGCCCCAGCAACAGTTCTAGTAAACAAATCTCTCCCCACCCACATTGCTGCCTGGCCTGCCTGGGCTGGGGAGGAAGGGGACTGGCAAGGGGAAAAGTCCCTTTCACTGCAATGTGAGTGAGCTGGGCCTGTGGTTGGGGAGGGAGGGGGTTAACAGGGAGAGTGGATCCTGCTCAGCTGGGAGGGGGGACGCGTGTAATATGTTCCCGCCAGGTTCCCCAGCAGGCTCGGGTGATCCCTGCAGACTCACAGCCCCGTGGTGCTGAACCAGAAGCAGTAAACATGGTCCCAGTGTTTCGCCCCGTGCTGCTTGGGGTGGAACCCTCGGAGTTCAGGGCCCGCAGGGCTGCAGGCGTGGCAGTATCGCCTGCCCCAGCACTGCCAGCCTGACTGTGGGGTCAGCGCAGGGACAAAGCCTCCACAACGCAGAACAAACACAGATCAAGCCCCAAACAGACCAGGATACCCCTGCCAGAGCTACTCCCAGGAAAGGCCCGAGAGACACAAACAAAGCGCTAAGGCCTGGGGTGAGAGGGGACTTCTGACTCCGTGGCCTGCTCAGATGTTGGGCTCGCTGCTCTGACTGTCCCTGGGCGCTGGTGGGGTGGGCTGGACCCCTGTCCATCGGCAACTGGAGTGCGACACCTCCCACCACTGCACACAGGCCCCAAACCAGGCATCGCACTGCCAGGACTCTAGGCCAGCGCTGACTCGGTTCCAAAGCGTCTCTGAAGCCCACTGCCAGGGCCCTGAGTCTGCCGACCGGAACCACTGGGCCCAGCGGAGTGACCCTGGTGCCCGGTGCCCCCTGCAAGCACTGTTATCCTGGAAAGAGATCAGCTAACAACCAGCAGTGCTTCCTGGCTTGTTTGTGTCTCTTCCCGCTAAGCTGGAGAGCAAAGCTAGTCACTGTCCCGGTCACTGCACGGCTGGTGGGGTCAAGTCCTGCCCCACATATACTGGGGCTAGAGAGTGACCCACATTTAGAAGCTATGAGCACTGCCATTGCTGGGGGGGGGCGGTGAGAGGGGGTGTACAAGCAATTTGTTGCTTTGACTTTCTGGTTTACACAGTAACACGAGCTACAGATTGAACATGGGGACACACACCCCCAGCACATTGCACAGAACTGCCATCTAAGGGACAGCATGAGGGGGAGCACTTCTGCCTTGGACCCCCTCTTTCGGCCTGGCTGAACCCTGAGTCTCTGACGGGCACTTGGCTCATCCGGCACCAGGAATGCTCTGACACAAATGAGAAAATCACCCCCAGTCTGAATCAAAGAGACATCACCAAGTTAAAACCCCGTATTTGAGTAAAGACATTTCCTTCCCTGGGCTAACAACATCCAAAATGATAAAAAAAACTAAACTGACCCCCCGGAGCAACAACTTCCCCCTCCCCCGACAGCTTTGTTTTCTTTCTGCATTTCATTCCACTGGGACAACAGATTCCTCAATTTCATTGGCACTCCTACAGCAGTTTCACTTTCAGGTTCTCTGCTTTAGCAGGTCCTGCAATGTTTGGGTTGCAAACACGTGGGGAAGTGGTTAGCTCCAGATATCAATAAAACCCCAAACAAAGGCTGTGTGCATATATAATATTTTATGTAAATATTAGCTTTCGGCAACTTTTTAGACCAAAACCTCCATCTAGGTCCTAAGGAATCCATCAGTGCCCACGAATGGGTCTCTGGGGCTGCTGATCAGAGAATAAACCAGCCTTTTCTGCAGACAAAGTATTTCTAAATTTTTGCGTTGAACAGAATTTGCCTCCTCGCAATATAAATAGAAGTCTCTCCCTCCCCCGCAATGCTCGGTTTTAAATATCCTTGCTGCTAAACAGTCGGGAAGGATTGCATCCCTTCCCCTGGGAGCTGCAGAAGCTGGAGATGGACATGTTGCCCCTACTAGGTGCCATCTAGTTAGTTCATCTCCACAGGGCCCAGCTCAGACTCCAGTGATGGTCAGCCTAGAGTTTCCTTTCTCACTTTCCCGCTAGTGACAGCCCCTTGGCATTCCTCCATCGGCCCACTAACGCCGCACACCTACTGTCCTAGTGCTCCAGCCCAGCCCCAAGACAATAGCGGAGCAAGCAGAACCCAACCTGGGCTGGCTTACCCTTTTTGAACTCCTCCAGCATAGCATCGAGCTTGGTGTCGTGGAAGACGAAATGGACCGGGTGGTTGTAGAACTTGGTGATGGTCTTAAGGGGGGTGCAATCATCGGGGTCCACAAAGGCCAGGTCCTTGACGTAGAGGATGTCCACGATGTTGGAGCGCTCCACCTCATAGACGGGGATGCGGGTGTAGCCGCTCTCCATTATCTCCGACATTGTGTTGAAGTCCAGGATGGCGTCGCTGTCGATCATGAAGCAATCGTGGAGCGGGGTCATGACATCCTCCACTGTCTTAGTCCGGAGCTCCAGCGCTCCCTGGATCATGTTGAGTTCCTCCTTGACCAGGTCATTGTAGGGCTCCGTCACCTTCAGCATCTCAACCAGCTTCTCGCGGTTGTAGACGGTGCCGATCTCCTGGCCCAAGATGCAGTCCAGGAGCTTGCTGATGGGGAAGGAGAGGGGGAACGTCACCAGCATGAAGAACTTGGTGATGCCGATGGTGTTGGCGCCCACGGCCAGGCCGTGCCGGGAGCAGAGCGCCTGCGGTACAATCTCGCCAAAGATGACGATGCCGATGGTGGAGGCGATGACGGCACCAAAGCCGGAGCCGATCAGGTCGTCCAGCAGGATGGTGAGGGTGGTGTTCACCAGCACGTTGCCCAGCAGCAGGGAGCAGAGCAGGTAGTTGCCCTTCCTGCGGATGGGCTCGATCTTGCGGGCGTAGCGCTTCTCCTTGTCAGTGCCACAGTTCTGCACGATGCGCAGCTCCATGGGGTCCAGCGCCATGAGGCCCAGGTTGAGGCCGCTGAACATGCCGGAGAGCACCAGGAGGCAGAGGATGAGGATGACCTGGAACCAGAGGGGCAGCAGCGACTTCTTCTCCTCCACCACCATGAGGCGGCCATCCCTGCCCTCATGCCGCACCCAGGGCTGGCCAGGGCCGCGCTTGGTGCACAGCACGTAGATCTTGGCCTGCTCGTTCTTGCGCAGGGGCTGCACCCGCACGTGCAGCACCCCCGAGGTGTTGTGCGTGTCGTTCATGTGGGGCTGCACCACCAGGTCCTGGGTGTGCACGGGGCAGCTGGTGTTGGTGTCAGCGCGGGCGTCGGAGCTGGCATTGGCACTGGCCCTGGCCCCGGCCCTGGCGCCCAGCTCGGCGAAGGCCACCAGCGCCCCGGTGTGCGGCCCGATGTCCAGCCCGAAAAGCCGCAGCTGCACCTGGCTGCCCTCGGTCACCTGGATGACGCCCCCGTCGGGCGCCGCGGCCGCCGGCTTGCTGGTGCCCTCCAGCCGCATGCCCAGGATCACGCTGCTGCTGTCGGGCGGGCCCGGCCCCGCCGCCAGGGGGAGCGCGAGCGCCAGCCCCAGCAGCGCCCGCAGCGCCGCCGCCGCGCCCCCGCCGCAGCCCGGCGCCATGTTCCGCTCGCCCCGCGCCTCGCCCGCTCGCAAGGCACAACCGCCCGCTGCTGGGCTGGCGGCGCGCACGTCACCCGCCGCGCGGCCACGCCCACGCGACTCGGCCACGCCCCGGGCCACGCCCCCTGCGCGCCTTAAGGAGGCGCCGGGCTGGGGCGCGTTAAGGGGGGTTGCTGTCCCGTCTTGGGAGTGGAGACGGGAATTCGCGGCTGCGGGGGCATGTGCGGGGTGCGAGGCGATTCTCGGGGATGGTGATGGTGGGGTGTTATTGGAGTATAATTTTGGGGGGCAGTGGGGGAGGGTGTTATGGGGTGGGGTATGATTTATGGGGGTGGTGGGGGAGTTGGTTATGAGGCAGGGGGATGATTTGTGGGGGAGGGGGTTATAGGGTGGGGAGGATTTTTTGGGGGGAGGGGATTGAGGATAATTTTTTGGGGGGAGGGGGTGTATGGGGCAGAGTGTGATTCTTTGGGGGTAGGGAAGGGGGTGTGTGCTTTGGGGCAGCCCTGCCATGCCTAGGCCTCTCTGCCCCCCTCCCCCTGCCCCAGGTGTAAGATGCTATCCCATAGTTAACATGGGAACTAAGCCCCTACAGAGGGACATGATGATACTCTCTAGGGCGCGGCAGGGGAGTCACGCCCCTGAGCGCTCCCCCACCCCAGCTCACACCGTGAGCCTCCCACCACATGGAATTTTCCTCTCCTTGCCCCTTGTTTCTCTTTGTTGATTCATGACTTTTACAATTTGCCATAAAACACAGGAGTCAGTAACCACAGGAAGGGGACCGACAGCGTGGCGGCTTGCCCAGCGCCATCCTGCAGCCTTCAATCCTTCTTGTGTTATGAGAAGGAGTAAATAACACTTCCTTATTTACTTTTTCCACACCGGTCATGATTTTATAGACCTCTATCATATCCCCCCCCCTTAGTCGTCTCTTTTCCAAGCTGAAAAGTCCCAGTCTTATTAATCTCTCCTCATACGGAAGCCGTTCCATTCCCCTAATCATTTTTGTTGCTCTTTTCTGAACCTTTTCCAAGTCCAATATATCTTTTTTTGACATGGGGCGACTTCATCTGCTCGCAGTATTCCAGATGTGGGCGTACTATGGATTTATATAGAGGCAATATGATATTTTCTGTTTTATTATCTTAATGATGCCCAGCATTCTGTTCACTTTTTTGACTGCCACTGCACATTGAGTGGATGTTTTCAGAGAACTCTCCACAATGACTCCAGGATCTCTTTCTTGAGCTGTAACAGCTAATTTAGACCTCATCATTTGATATGTACAGTTGGGATTTTGTTTTCCAAGGTGCATTTCTTTGCATTCCTTGTGGTGGGTTTTGTAACAGACACATTACAGCAGAGGCGATTGTCCTCCAAACAGCATGCAGAAAGAGCTCCCTATTGTGGTATCAGAGAAAACCTGCATTGTGCACCTGGCACCCTGCCGCTGGGTAATGCTGGCATGTGAAGAGGTCTATAAATATCTTGCATTTCTAGAGTGTACTCCATCCCTGGAGAATCCCAGACTGCTTTGCAAACCGTTATACAAAGCACACAGGGGTCACTCCCACCAGGCCTGAAATGCAGCTACCCCTGGGGTGGATGTCTGAGCTGTTTAACAGCTCATAGTAACACTAGGAACAGTTTAGGGGCCCAAGTCTGTGCAGTACTGACCATCCTCAACTCCCTTTAAAGGGGATTTGAAGACAGCCTGGTTCGAATCAGGCTGTAGGAACAAAGTTGAAGGAAATTCTATCCCCAAATAAACTGCAGGAGGAATGTAAAGAGGTGGAATGTAATGACTGACTTTGGAACGGGGCTAAGACATGCTGACTTCTGCCAGGAGGCTGCACCTTCGCCCCTGGGGAACAAACAGCCCTGGCTAGGTAACATGCCTCGTACCTCCAACCCAGGAGGCAGAGAGGGGGGCGGCAATAGGTCGGGAGTCAGTGAATAGGACAGATGTACAAGAAGTCATTAATAAAAGCATCTCGGCAGACGGCCCAAAGGCACTCAGACAGCCCCAGCCAAACCTGGATCATTTGCCCAAGTACCGGCAGTTCCCATCTCAGACTGAATATTGAGCGACGGAAGCTTGTTCTGCTCTGAGCACTTTAATACATAAAGAGTTTAGCCAGCTCAGCACAGAGCGCCCTTCTCCTTTAACAACTCTGATGCTGCCTTGTTGAGCAAAGTCCCTCTTCGGTGCTGGCCCCAGGTAGCTAGTAGAGAAGGGCAACAGCCCTGCCAGGTGCATCAGCTCAGCTCAACCTGACCCTGAATGATTAGTTCCCCAGTATTTTTAAACGGCCCATGGCCCTTAATGGCTCCGTCCAGTCACTGTGCAGCCACTGGAGCCTACCAGCTGAATACGGTTGAGTTGCACAAAGCTGGCTTGTGTGGGGACATGATGGGATGTTTGGATGAAGACAATTTGTGGGGCTAGTGATTAGTTGGCTGGTTCACCGAACCCGAGGGTCAGTGCTCAATTACCAGGTGAGCTTGGGGTTACAGCACTTCAGGAGAGTCGTGTCAGTGTATGATGCAACCAAACAAAACCTAGTGAGTCAGAGACTTTCAAAGACAGGCCAGTGTGTGGGAATGGCCTGGCTGGGCAGCCTGCATAGCTCACAAACAATGTAATGATCCCAGGGCAGGCACTGTAATCCAGCCCCAGTTCTTCACCTCCAGCAAGGGGTTTCATGCAGCTTTTCCAGGGGACAAGGAGACCAGTTCTGATTCCTCTCTTCTGCCAGAGACTGCACCCAGGGTTTGTTCTGGGCCCTGCAACAGTGATGGACTCACAGAAAGGGCACAAGGCAGAGGCAGGTGTAGAACCCAGGAGTCCTGATGCCCAGCATTATGTTTGCTCTACTTAACCAGAGCTGTCTCCTCCTCCTAGTGACTGCTATGGTCCCTTACAATGATAACCCACTGCAACTCTATCAGAAGGATCCAGTGCATGTTAACAGTGGAGGAATATCCCTTTTTAAGACTGGAAATGGATTTCTAGTTTAAAGTTTCCAACAAGGCTCTATCTGCCAGCCAGAAAAAGTTCCCCATGACTTTAATGATCACACAGACTAGCACGAGGGCCTTCTATAAACACAGGCTCTGTGCTGGCTATATTTGGACCCATTGCTGCAAGGAGCTCCTTCAGGCACTCCAGGCGGACATAAAGAACTCCTTCTGCCAGCATTGCCAGGTGCACGATCCTAGAGCAGCTGGGCTTGATTTTCCTGTCGCTCGGGCTGGTGTTGCTCTCACTTGCACTGGTGATTTCGCCCCCGATGACATCAGGAAGAGGAGATAACTCGCTGGGCAGCTCTGACCTGTCTACAGATGCCCTGACACTGCTCCTCTCCTTCTGTTCCCCAGTCTCAGACTACTGTGACCCAGCCTCAGGAAACAGGAAGAGCCAGGTCTCATGCCTGCTCTTGCCCAGTGGAAAGCAAGCGGTAATTAATGCATTGCCTTTGGGAACCGTAACCTCAAATTCACCATCAGAAATCAATGGTCCACTGGAATGTGTTTCTATAGCAACAAGGACCAGAGAGATAACTCCCTGTAAGGCAGCTTTTGGGCTCAGACAGAAAGAGCAAGAAGATGCATGATGCTAATGCAGCCCTTGACTATCACTGCTGGAGAGCTGGGCTCCTGGGTTAAGTCAGACGTGGAGATCAGTCTGGCTGGCTCTGCTCCTGGGTGGAGATCAGTCTGGCTGGTTCTCCACCTCTGCTGAGGGCTGGGCCAAGGTGAGACCAGGAAGGGATGCCGTGAGTCAGGCTTGAGGCGGAGGGGCAGACTACGTGAGGATGCAGGACCAGAGTAACTGGGTCAGGATTCTGAAGGGCATCAGCAGAGCAGGGTGCGTGGGGAGCCCAGGATGGGAACAGCAAGGTGGCATTGGCAGAGCTGCGTAAGCAACATGATTTGCACAACCCCTGAGTGAGCTCTGGACAAAGGGGGGTCAAGTGACATCATTCAAGGTGCCTTGCCACAGTAAAGCTGCATGTTCCAGTCCCGTTCCCCATCCGGGCTGAACAATGCCAACAGCCAGGCTTCGACAGCCTGTTCACTGAGCTCTGGCGGAGGCTGGGGCTGAGCCAGGCTGGCAGTCCCTGTCAGAGCTGCTCGCTACATCCAAGGGGAGCGTCCTTTAGCTTCTCAAAGCTGGCCTTAGGAAGAAACAACTGGCACTTCTGTTCAGAGAAACCCGAGGAAAGTGCTGCGTCAGCTGATTTCTATTCCCTTTCTTGACACAAACACCACAGTGATGGTGCCTGGGTCCTCTTTGGCCTCCCCATCCCTCCCCACCCCCCGAGCCACAGCTCTGCTGATGCTGCAGAGTCTCTCGCAGCACGGACACCCTGTACTCCAGCAGGACTAGGGGGCAGGAGAGCTGGTTCTAGCTCCATCACTGACCTTAGGGCCCGTGACTCAGTTTCTCCACACACAATGGGGTCAACAACACTGACCCAGCGCTCAGGGAGCCGTCCGTCTGTGCTGCAGGGGGAGACCCAGCGATTAGGGTGACCAGACGTCCCGATAAAATCGGGACTGTCCCGATTTTTAGGCGTGTGTCCCGACCGATATTTCACACTCCTGTGTTTTGTTTGTTTGTTTTGCTCTGCCAGCGGGACTCCACTTTTTTTTTTCCTTTGCTCCGCTGGCGGGGGACCCCCTCCCCCGTGTCCCGATATTTTCTTCATCCCATCTGGTCACCCTATCAGCGATGGACGGTGTAAAAGGGCCTGTTAAAAGAACAGGAGTACTTGTGGCACCTTAGAGACTAATAAATTTGTTAGTCTCTAAGGTGCCACAAGTACTCCTGTTCTTTTTGCGGATACAGACTAACACGGCTGCTACTCTGAAAAAAGGGCCTGTTAGTGCATCGTGGCCGCTGAGATGGGCGCAGGCTCCAAGAAGTGTGTGTGGGGGGGAGGAGTGGGCTGGGCAATGTCTGGTGCCACGGAAGTAACAGTGGCATTTCGATGGGGAAACTGAGGCAGGGAGGCACAGTCAGGGCGGGGCACCCTCCGGCCACCCTCACCACGCCCGGTCCCGTCACCGCATCACTACCGCGCCTGTCTCCAGGCCACCGTCACCATGGCACCGTTGTCCCCATGTCGCTAGGCAACTGTGGCCGTGTGTGTCGCAGTCCCGCGGGGGACCCAGGGCCCGCAGCCGCTGCCCCGAGAAATGGGGACCGGGTCCCTTTAAGCAGCCCCGTGCCCGGAAGCGGCGAGGGCACTACATTTCCCAGGGCCCCTCGCGCGGGCACGAACGCTAGCGGCTCACTCCGTTCCGCCCAGTGACGGATGCGCTCCTCAGCCAACCAGTAACACGATCCGCATCAGTAGTCGGTGCCTGGAGGGAGCCAATGGTGGAGCTGGGTGGGAGCGCCCTGCGGCCAATGAGAGGCGCGGGGGCGGGCGCTAGGGCCGCAGGCCGGGCCGGGGGAAGATGGCGGCGGTAGCGAGGTGGTGGCGGGCTGGGCTCCCGGGGTTGCTCGTGTTGCTGCTGCTGCGCGGGGCGCGCGCTGAGCAGACTGAGGAGCACCTGAAACGGGAGCACTCGCTCACCAAGCCCTACCAGGGTGAGGGGCCCCGCGGGGAGTGCGGGGGGGACGGGACCCCTGTGGGGTGTGTGGGGGGGGACCCGGTGTGGGGGGTTGGGTTGGAGTGGGGGAGACCCGTGTGGGGAGCTAGGCTGGGGGGACCCGTGTAGGGTGTGCGTGCGTGTGTGTGGTGGCGGGGGGGACTGGGCTGGAGTGACAGGGCAGTGGGAGTATGGGGGTGATGCACGGGGATGCAGGAGGAACTGGGCTGGGGAGGCTAGGTGAGAGGGTCTGGGAGATTTGGGGAACAGGGTGGTGGGATCAGCAAAAGCAGTAATTGGGGCAGGGAGGAGTGGGGGAGGAGTCAAAGGGGGTGAGAAGGGGAGTAGGGAGGGGGCAGGCAAAGAAACTGAGGTAGTGTGGGCAGCTGGTGTTGGGGAGAAAGGCAGGGTGGGGGTGCAGAGGGAGCTGTGGGGAGTGACTAGAGTGTGACAGTATTTGGGGGGCACGGAAGAAGCAGAATGAGAGTGGATTGGGACCCCTGAGAGAGAAGGGCTGGGGGATGAGCTATGTAAGTGGCGTGGGGGAAAGCAAGTGTACCTAGTGCTTTGTGCACCTGGCTGGAGAGGGAAAGAGGAGGGTGGGCAGGTGGAGGGTCTGGGAGGGAAACAAGGCAGAGAAGGAAGCAGGGGGGTGGGTGGGAAGATGGATGGAAGGGGGTTGGGTGAGAAGAGGCAGAGCGCACGGCAATCAGTGCTCTCCACTAACAGTCACAGCACTGTACCCTTGTACGGTTGGTGCAAATGTTTCCCTCGTACCCCGCAGGTGTTGGATCTTCCAGCTCCTCTCTCTGGGATCTTATGGGCAATGCCATGGTCACAACTCAGTACGTCCGCCTCACACCAGACATGCAGAGCAAACAGGGGGCGGTATGGAACAGAGTGGTAAGAATAATGTTCTCTAGCAATCTGTGAGGAGCGCTGGCACTCCAGGGTTTTGTATCTCATGCAGAAGTGATTTCTATCTTTGGGCTGCAGCCAGTATGTCTGAATTCAAGATGGTGAGGGGTAGCAAGATGGTAATTGGGATGACTTGATTTATGGAGTCAAGATTCTCATGGGAATCGGCTGCTGCAGGTCACAGGAAGTGGTGCACTGATGGTGAAATCCTTACCTCGCATGCGGAATGAAGGGTGGATGGGCCTTGGGCAGATTGCTCTCATGAAAACTACTGGCCAGACAGATTTGTGGAATGGTTGTGCAAAACAAACTCCAGCTACAGTTAATCTGAAACAAGCCTGTTGCTAAATCAGTGTCTTGGCAGTGTCTCTGCTTTCGGTGTAGCTACAGGAGGTCATTAACCTTGTGACAGTGTTCCAGTCCACTGAGCTTTTCCTTTGACTAAAAGCGCCAAAAGGCAGTGCTTATAAATGGCTTGCTCCCGGGCAATAGCCCTGCCAATTCTATTATAGGATTTGATCCTAGATCCCTCTATTACTATAGCTCAAATGTGTCCCATTCGGGATCACCACTCTGTTGTGTTCCATGTACGTGGCACGTTCTTTAGATCCCGAGTAGATGAAGATCCATGTCCCCCGAATAGAATAACTTATGAAAGGCTTTTTGTTCTGGGGGAACGTGAATGGTGTAGACGCACACAAGAACACTGGACCAAAGGCAGATCTGGTATAAGCAATTGCAACTCAGATCCGTTAGTGGACTTGTACCTGCTTATACCAGTATGAATTGGGCACGCTGAGTTTATCCTGTAAACCTGATCTGACATTCCTCTGCTCCCATGTGCAAAGGTTCCACCAGAATCTGAAAACGACTAACCTCACGTCTACCATTAATACTTGGCCACAGCAGTACAAGTACCTGGGTTCTCTACCTTTCTTCGGTAGCTGTCAGTTTGAGTCCCAAACTCAGCTCTCATCAAATGTTTATCTAACTTAAGTCTTGCCTAAAGAGTGGATATAATTTGCTTATTAAGTGAAAAGCTGGAATTTGAGCCAGAAAGCATCTTATGGTCAATATAGCTTCCTGTGCTGTTCAGTGCAACCTTCTCTACGTAAATCTGCTTGGGCCCTCGAACAAACTCATATAGTCTTACCTTGCTGCACTATAGTTCTTCTTTAACGTTTATAGTGCCTATAGTGGATCCTGCTTTTTAAAACAAGTAATCATATATGATGTCCTAGCTCCAGTCACTCAAAACTGAAGCTTTGATAGGATGTTTCTCTGGATTATAACAGTAATCTCACACTTCTTTCCAAAGCTGAAAAATGCCTATTCTTGGTGAGTGAAATTGCCAGGCAAAGGGAAGTGTGGTCTCTTAGTTGTGATGTGGACACAGAAGGGCTTGCTGTTGGAGGCTTTCTTTTTAGGCAAAAAGAACAGGAGTACTTGTGGCACCTTAGAGACTAACAAATTTATTAGAGCATAAGCTTTCGTGGGCTACAGCCCACTTCTTCGGATGCAT